TTTTTGGGGGGGGGGGGGGGGTGTTTGTTTTTTTTAAATTTTTTAGAAGTCTACAAACTGAGAAAGCCTGAAAAATCTCAAAGACTGATGTAACAAACTGTATCACAGGGATCCATCTGAAAGGTCAGGACAAAGCACACTCTACATTGCACAGCAGTTGGTCACCACTGCATAAAGAGTACCCAAGGATGTCTAACACTGGTGAATGACTGTACTGCCTCTAAAAACATCTAACAAAATCACAGATGTTGGTGTTAAATTATAGCTCAGCCAGTGCTAAGCGACTAATGAACAATTTTACATTGAGAAGACAGAACCACCCTTCTATCATATTGATTTTATGACCATAAAATGAAACATTTTTGTTTCTAATTTTACAGCAAAGTCATGCTGAACCAACTGTGAAGAAGAGTTTCCTTTTTCTACCCAACGACAGTACCCATTACCAATTACATCCCACAAAAATTATATACCTGCAGAAAAAGCACATCATTTTGCAAATGATACAGTCCTGGCAGCAAAAACATCACGTGGCAGATGAGCTCTAAACACAGACCCCAGAAAGCAACCCCTGGCCTCCAAGCAAACGAGCAGTGCAGCCCAGACCTCACTGCTCCCTGAGTATTATCTGCATTGATTCCACCACACAACTTTCAGACGTGAGCACCATCTTTCATTTTACACAGATGCCTGTAATGTATGCAAGTGATTTCAGGCCAAGTCAATAACTGCAAAGAATTAAAGAGCCGATACTTACCAATGACAATGAGCTGAGCCGCACACAAAATAATAACTATGCACAGCAATGATATGATGATAGCCCTTTCCACAATGAGGAACCATGATCCTAGAGAACAAACAAAGAAAAATGGTGGGAAGAGAAAAAAAACATGAGGTTATTAGCCTTGCATTTATTGTTCCTTTTAGGCTATGCCCCATATTGCTCACTATTATATGTAAGTTAGCATTAAGAGTTATAATAGGCTAAGAAAGCTATGACCTCTACCTATGTAACCTTCTCCCTGATCACGTGTGTGACAACCTACTTTTTCAGTATTTCCAGTTACCTTAACATTTTCCAAACTGGAGGTCTTAACCTCCACTGGAGCAGAGGATATGTTGGTGTTATTTTCTGGCACTACAAGCTAGTGAGCTTGTGGAACTACCAACAGCACTGTTGATCAGAAAAACAGTGTATTTAGGCTAAGCAGCAAAGATACGAGAAATCCAATTTGATACTTCCTCAGCTATTCTACTCTACTTTCAACTGCTGTTAACTCCTGAAGAATTCCAGGGGTGTGTTAAGGAATACAGGAGTTAACCTAAATGAGAGGGAAACACTGCTTTGTTAATTTTAGGTCTTTCCAACATCATCCATTTAGTCTTTTTTCCGCCTGCATTTTGGATGCCTTAGGCTGTTCAGTCAGTTGTGCTGTAAGACCCTGTAAGCCACCTTCCAACATAAAATTCCAAAAATATCTCCACTGAACTAGAAAATGTAGTTAATTCTTGCATCTCTGCTCGTATCTTCATTTAGATTCACTCAGTGGAAGCCCAGCTCTCCATTTCTCACATTATACTTGCCACCATACATGCACATTTGCTTCCAAAGAAATTTCTAATCTTTATTAAGATGCATATTCATTGCACTTTCTCTCCATATATAAAAGTTGTATCTGTAGCTCCAGAAACATGGACTTAAGTAGCAGTACTTTATAACTTTCAATGCCAACTGAGTACTCTGAGGACAGGTTTTCAGTACCTAAATTGCCCTCTTTCCCCTCCCTCCCCGCCTCCCTCAAGAGTCACAGAAGAAGATACTGTGGATGCAGCAGAAATACAAGACAAAAACAAAATAGAATGAAGGCAAAGAAACAGGAAGAATATCTGCCAACTTCCTAACCACCAAAACAAAGTTAATTTATTGAATAGTTTAAAAGAAGGCTTTCAGCTTCATTTGCATTTCCAAAAAAGCAAATACTGAACTGTTGCCATTCTCTAGATAAGCCAAATCCCAGAGATGCTGTTCGATGCAACTGAGAATAATTAACTTAAAAAAGGATCTGCAAGCAGAGACTCAGAACCAGCTTCACTTCCTCTGTAGCATTTCCAGATGGCACTACCAGGTATTACAAGCAGAAAAAGAGCAGCCACAAAGCCTGGTATCTGCTAGGACTTCAGCCAGCAACACACAACCATGTATGGTCCAGTCTTAGACTATAAAAAAACTTACTGTGCAGAAATTCTTGCAATATTGCACATACATACAGCATGCAAATAAGAAGAACAGCTGAGCACATTTTCCTGGTAAGATATTTCCCTTACTCTGATGCTTCATAGCAATAAACTAAACTCCTGGCGAAAAGTAGTATTTTCAGAGCCAATATAAGCAAGTCAGTTCCAATGCTATGAGAGCAACTTCCAGACTGAGGTGAAAGGAAAGTAAAGAGAAGAGGGGAAAGGAAACAGGGGAGAAAGAGAAGGAAGAAAAGAGGATAAGAGAAAAAGGAGAGCAGGAAGAGGAGAAGAGAAAAAGAAAAAAGAGAAGACAAAGAGAGAAAAAGAAAAGAGAGAAACTTGCTGTCCTGATCAGGAAAGAGTGTGCACAAAGACAATGGCACTTGCACAGAAATCTTGCTCACTCTGCTACCCAATTCCTAGGTGAGTTCAGGAATTCTCTAGAGTGAGAATGAAGAATGGTTGGCTCTTGTAAGGCTACCTTTGTAAAAGCATCAACTGGAACATGATAGTAGTGACAGCATGAATTCATTGCTCAGAAATGACAGAGCGAAGACTGGTACAGGATTTCCATTATTCACTGACCCTTTTCAAAACTCATTTGCTACACATCCTTTTATTACCTTGTTGTCTCAAGAGTTTCTCTAGAGCACTGAGGAGAAAAAAGCAAGAGAGAACTGTGCAGCAGAATGACAAGAGAGAGCAACTGTGTTACCTGCAGCTAAACTCTTAGATATAAGATTAGGTTTTAAGATTTCTAGCATATATACTCTCAAATCTAATGTGACCTTGAAACTATGAATTATTCACCAACCACCTGCTTCCTTTGGTGTTGTATTTTCCTCGCCGCAACTGACAACTAGAAAATGAAATCAGAAAAGTTACATCAGTTTCCAGCTTTGTTGTCTTTATACCAATTTCAAAATTGTAAACACAGCAAAAATAAAATTCACAAATGGAACTCGATTCTACTGCGTTCTCAAGCCTTGTTTCCTCTTCCAGAGCTTAACAATGAACGGCAAAAACAGCCAAAAAAGGCTGAATAAGCTGTAAGAGAAGGAACAGAACTGTGTAGACCTCTTCTCCTGTTTTTGCAGTGCTCTAAGAAACAAATGATTTTGTAGCATCTTCACTTTCAGTGCCTGTGCCACTCTCAATCCATTTCAGGATCACATTTGCTTTGCAGTGTATATGTCTAACTGAATAACTAGACCCAACTGAGAGTTACACAAATAACTGCAGCAGGACATCTCTCTGAGCTTCATAAAGATTTTAACGTGAAATGGAAAAAGTAGTAACAAAACCATCCCAGGACAATTCTAGAGTGCATGGGTAAGGCAGCGTGTGCTAAACAGATGCAACAACATGTGATGCTTCTGAGAAGCTCTCCAGAAGCAAGAAGCAAGTCTCCTTGTAAATAGGTACACAATGCACACAGAGAAATGTGCTCTGTCACTTTTGCAGAGCACTTGACAGACAACATACATACAGCAGAACCCATTATTCAACAACTGAGGTGCTAGAGCGAATGGTCAGTGGATGAGAAATTCATTTACTGAATTTCATTAATTTTATCATCTTCTGAAGATGACATTTAATCCTGGAAAACAGTAACACATTAGCACCTAGTAGTTGCATTTTCAACTTTGCTGGAAACCTGCATAACTTCAGATCAAGTCTTAGAGCTCTTACACAGAATTTCTATTAGTTCTACCTGTAATTTCCCAGCAAATAGAAAAGATTGCAAGAAGCAACTCTTCAAAGAAAAGATCTCTGCAGGCACCATAATGAACGTACACATTTCAGTATTATGAAGATATTAGGAATGTGTTTCAGTACATAATGCAATAACATCAGGGTGTTGAGTATATCAACAACTGTATCCTCTAAGAAGACGTGGGAAAGCATAGATTTTCCTGTAGCAGACAAATCATCCTCAGACATTATTACAGAATGAAAAAATGTAGTCAGATTTTTCCCACAGAAGCACTCCCCTGTAACTTAAACCAAAGTAACTCTTATCAGTTTTCAAGTTAGAAGGTCTGGCTGCTACATTTTTTGTATTTTCAATTCAAAGGAATACACTGAGGTGGTCATTGTTTTTCTCCTTCCCTTAAGGTTTTGCTTGTGTTGCATCCCTACAGGTTCTAAAAGAATAGTAGGCAACTCACCTGAGCTCTGTCTAAGTTCCATTCTTGTTTCTCCTTCTCTGTTTGATTCTGTTACTTCACAACTGTAATTTCCAACGGTTGCTTGTGCAGTGCTAAGCATCAGAGAGGCCACACCCTTGGTTAAATCCGCCTGAGATACCAATTTTGCTGATAAAAACGATGGGTCTTTATAAAACTCGTTTGTTCCTCCACGAAAAGAAAAAATTACCTTTTTTTCTTTTTTCCATGTAACAAACATGACATTTTCATTGTTCTCCCTTAGATTAGTCACATAACAAGGTAAAATGACAGTTTCATTACAGTCATTTTTTTCAACAATGTCTGTTCCAGTGAGGATTAACTGGGCAGAACCTATAAAGAAAAATGAGAATTGACACATTCAGAATTATTTCTTAATACACACGAGAATAAATTAAAAATAATTACAACAGTGACTTGGGAAAACAAAAACTCTCCCATGAAACCAAAAAAAGAGAACCATGCTTTCAAGGAGTAACAAAAGACGGAAAAAAAGGGCATTATTATAATTCTACTCCTCTGCACAGACTTAGCCATTCTTACATCCATTTAATGTACAGATACTATAACCTATCATAAATTTAAAATAAAAGTCGTAAAATTTTGGGTGCCACTTGCTCGGACACTTCCCCCAAAATGCCATATGCAGAAATACTGCATGAAGGTCTGGTTCCATTAACCACAAGTTGTGCCACTGATGTTCAAATTTCTGCTCCTGAGCACACAGGTTAAAAAAGTCTACTTTTATACTTCTGAGAGAAGGCAGGCAGGGCAGCTTCATCAAGAAGGGTTTGATCATTTGTTCCTTCTTATCTCTGAAGGTGGAGCCAAATTCCCACAGCTTTAGATCATTTCTTGCAAATTCTCTCTCTTTTCCTTTCCAGTGGAGAAGGTGCACTCACAATACCATATACTAAATCAGATAATTACACTATAATTACACTAAGTAATTATGTAATTATTATTTTTCAAGTGTATACACAGTGGAATTGAAAATGAGAATTTGTAACAATGAAAGGCTTTTAATGTTTTATTTTCTATATTTTTACTTCTTTGGGGGAAATCATAACATAGTTTAATAGCTTTCTTAATAGTAATTGCTCCCCAAAGTTCCACAGACACTAATAATCCAAAATGATTTACTACATTCATCTGATAAAAACAAATATGGGAAAAAGTATGTAAAACAAGACCACAACCCCTAATACTGTAAGCACAGAGACTTACACACTGGAGAAGCTCCAGGGACCTCAGAGAACTACTGCTACTCACATGTATAAAACCAGCTCAGATTTGTCATATGTGTTTGATGATTAAACTTAATTTGGGGAAGGGGAGAAAGGAGAAAAATTAAAATCAATAAGAGTTGTGTCACTATTTGCCATAGTTCTTTTTTTTTCAAAGCAGGAGTCTCAGATCAAATTTAAAAAGCACTCATCTTCAAAATATTGTTTTACTATTCTCACACGGGTTGCTGTATTACTACTGAACATCAAATGCTTATAATAAACTGGCTCTATATGTATAATGCATGACAGTGTCTTGCAACGAAGGAAGGAAGGAAGAATTATTCTCTGGCTTACTCACTGTGTTGCATTTTTAAACTGTACCTCAAATAACGAAAGTAACAAAAGCAGAACAAAGGGAAACTATACCCAAACTTCAATCTATGCCCTAAAAAAAACACGTGTACACAATTAAAAGCTTAAAGGGTTCTTCGTGAATTTCACATGTGTTTCCCACTACCTCAAGATAGAAGTTTGGGAGTTTTTTTCTCCTTCAGAGTCAGTACATTTACATTTCCCAGGAAGAATTTGTTCACCCCTGGCTTCATTTCACTGAGAAAGCTGATTTTTAAACTAAGGAAAGGGACTGTACTTCCAAATATTTACCAAAGCAAACAAAAAGCAACCATCTTGAGGGAAACAGAAACGAATTGATTCAAATGTTCTCCCTAGTATTACAGCAGAGCGGCAGTGAACTGTAAATTCCTGATTCCGGTCTGCTGGCCTGTAGTCCACCCACGAGAGCTGGCCTGTTTCGCCTGCAGCCAGCGCAGAAGTGCCGGTGTGAGCTGCTCCACAGCCTGGTGATGCGGGAACGAGGCGCAGGCTCCAGCGGGGAACAGACCCGTCCGTGCGGGTTCTGCCCTCTGGGAACGCGGCTGCTCTCGCACCAAAGGGAACCTCACGGCTTGCTGCAGATGGTACTTCCACTATCAGGTTCCAATAGTCTTCTTGCGGTAAGAGGAAGCTAACAGAACATCTCTGGCAATAGTTCCCAAATCCCGCAGGCAGTGGACTATTGGGCGGGCTCTTAGCATCCAGTTTTCTCGCCGTTTATCAGTTTAGAGGCATCACATTAAGGTGACAGTTCCAGAGCCTTACATTAAGCAGTCTGGGGGCTTCTGAAAAATGTGCAATGGTGGAGCTGACACGGAAAGGCTGTTTCAAGTAATATATGCCGTGTCAATTGGGAAATGCTACACAGGGTTCACAAAATTGGCTCAGTCTGGTCACCTGATGAACGCTTGCAGTTCTCATGACTACAAACCGTGCTGGGGCACTCACCTCTTCAGCCCGGCTACTGCTAACTCAGGATCCCAGACATACATTTGAACTTTAAACACAGATACAAGCTTTAAACAGGCAGATTTAGATGTGCTGCTTACCGACAGAAGAACAAGCCCCTAGCACCCGCACCTCGGTCAAAGTGTCCCTACTTTTTTAACCCTCCGTCCCCGCACCGAATTTCTTCTCAAGGCAGAGAAGCAGTTAAGATGGTGCGGTGTCAGCTGCACATCGACGGCACAAGAACTTTTTCTAAGATCAAGACACGTCAACCATTGACCCTGTGCAGCCCGCGACCATCTGGACTGTTTCAGGAAAGCACACTGAGCTGAGCTGCCCCCATGCCAAGGCAGGCGAGGAGCAGAGAGCTCCGCGCACGGTGTCCCTCCTCTGCCCGGCATCCCCGGCCCGGGGAGGGAGAGGGAAGCGCTAAGGCGGGGGGGCTGGATGGCAGCGTGTGTATCCCCGCTCCGTCCCGAAGCACGGCGAGCTCCCGCCGCGCTCCCGCAGCCCCACACGCTCCTGCCGCCGCCAGGGACAGCGGGAGCTCCACCCAGGGGCCACGCGAGTCCCCGCGCCGGGCGGACGGAGCGGCGGCGGCACCGGGACGGGTGGCGGCCGCTCGGCTCGTCTCGGGACCAGCTCCCCCGGCACCGCCACCGCCACCCGCCCCGCCCCTTCCCCCGGGCAACAGGGAAGGCTCAGCCTTTGCCTCGCATCCCCGGGGCCCCGGCGGGGACACCGCCCCGGACACCGCCGGGGAGCCTGCGCCGGGACCCGCCGGAGCCGGGGGCGCACGGGAGGCGTCTCGGGGCGGCTGCCGCGGCCGCAGCCGGAGGGGCCGGGGAGAGAAGGAAGGGGGGGGAGAAGGCAGGGAGGGCGCGCGGCGGTGTCTGTCTCACCTGCGCGCAGGGCGCCGAGCAGCACGGAGGCGGCCAGCAGCCACATGGCGGGGCGGCGGCGGGAGCGCGGCCGGGCCGGACCGACGGGCTCGGAGCGGCGCCGCAGCGGGCGGGCCGCGCGGGGGCGGAGGGGGCGCGCTCCCGACGCTGATTGGCTGCGGCCGCTGGCGCGGGGGCGCGCGGGGCGGGGCAGCTCCACGGACAGCTCCGCTTTCCTCCTCCTCCTCCTGTCGGCGGAGGTGTTGCAGCCCGCGGGAACGGCTGTAGAGCCCGTGTTTTGGTTTTGGTTTTGGGTTTTTTTTTCGGTTTTTTATTTTAAGTAATTATCAGGACTCGTATTCCACACCCGCGCGATCTCCGGGGCTCGCGTTTCCCCGCACGCCCAGGGGAGAAGGTCGGATAAAAATGGCTGCTCTGAGGCGGCCGGGGCTGCCAAGGGAAGGTGCCGCGTCCAGTGGTGGCGGAAGCGTTGACAGGGCGACTCCCGGGCCCCTTCTCTAAGCGAATCCCCGATCGCCTCACTGATTTCGAGCCCTTTATTTTGTGAGGGGTAAAACACCTTGGGGGGGCTTAAAGCCCCCCGTCCCCGCCTGCGGGGGGCGGGCAGGGCTGTGTCCCCGCGGGGCAGGGGCGGGAGGGAGCGGAGGGAGCGCTGTGCTTTCCCGAGTCACTGCTCGGCAGTCAGCTGACGGTGCGCCAGTGAATAATCCCGGCGAGAAGAGCGGAGGGGTTCCTCCTCGTCGCCAAAAGCGTGTGGAAAACCAGCCCTTGCCAGGGGCACGTTTGCTTCTGGCTGTAGTGATACTCTCTACGTAAAGACAGCACAAAAAAACACTGGCGACTCTGTAAGTGATCTGTTGACAGTTAAAAGCGAGGATAAATGCTCCATTTTCCTATTTCTACTGTAATACACACATTTGACTGTTTCAGCAATGAACTTTTTTCTCCGGGAGTAGCCCTCTTTAGGACCTTTCTTTTTAATGTCTCAAAATTTTGGCTCTATGAATACTGGCGCCCTAATCGCATACTTTGTTCTTAGGTGAAGAACATATGTGTTGGTGAAGCTTTAAAAAAGGACTGATAAGTATATATCTGTCTATAGATAGACATGATGTTTTTATAAGTCCCGAAGTTCAACAGAGGACAAAAGCCAGGGCAGAATCAAAATTCTGTGAGGAACTGAATTTCCATACTTTTTATGTCTCATGTGGGATTACTACATTTATGGAGTTTTGTAGCTGCAACGTTAATATTGGCTTGGCTGGTTCTTCCCCCCACACACACCCCTGCTTCCTGAGACTCCATACTTTTAGATTCTTCCCCGTAAGTGATTAATGGATACTGATGCCTTGACTGCTGTGCTTGTTTCCTTCAGGTATTCATAAAGCGCTCAGACATCCTCAGCCATTCAAGTTTAATAAAAAGCCTTGAGCAGTGGGAGCCATCTGACTCCAGAAATGATGGAGAGGGCTGGCACAGAGCTGCTGATCTTGCTCCTGCCAGACTGACTCAGATGATGTTCTCTGGAGGCCAGAAGAAACGAGCTGGAGCAGTGAGTAGCAGGGAAGACATGTCTGCGTCAGCTGTAGCGCATGCATCTGTGCCCAGACTGAGCACTGGCGCATTGACAGCCACGGGTATTGGGGTTCCCTTTGTGGGGAGCTGCACAGCGTGTTTTCTTTAAGAAAACTGGGGATGCTCTCCTCCCGCTGCAAAGAGAAGGCTACAGCTGCAGCACGCATTTGTCCCTGTTGCTAAGGTAACAGTAGCACACCCACGCTGGCCTAAAAGCAAAACAGCGCGCATGGGAGATTTCATCTGGCCAGGAGTCTCGCGTGGGAGAGAGCTGCTCTCTCGGGTGCTGCCTCCTGTACTACTGAACCGGCTTTCACAAATCCCTGAAAGATAACTCTCTGTGCATGCAGTTTCCCTGATTTTGTTGGGAGTAGCTGTGCCATCCAGTGAGGTGTCCATCTGCAAATACTTTGTCTTGTAATGCTCAGCCTTCTGCTGCTGAGAAAGGTCTGCAATGCCCCTGCTTGCTGGTGGTTTCAGGCAGCAGGATTGTGCAGCGCAAGGTACTTCAGGTGCCCACTGAGATAAAGGTCGGGCAGCTCTGCTTTCCTTTCCAAACCAGGAACACAAAGCAAACCCTGCTGAAATAGAAGAGCTGCATGCTCGTCTCCATTTTCTAACATCACTGTGACCATTCTCCTCTTGTTTTACTCAGCAATGTCTCTCTTCACCCAGTGCATACATGCTGTAGAAGCTCGTACAGAACATACCTCAGAAGCTGTGAAAAGCACAACTCTGATACGTGGATTAAGTCCAAGTGCTCCAAAAGTGAGAGGTCATATATTTTGAAAACTGTGTCTGAGTCAGTCTCTTATTTATGACTTCCAAGGCACAGTTTTGGTCTTTAAATTAGGCAGCTATTTTATTACCCCTTCTAGGCACTGATCTACCATTTCATACTGGTTTACTGCTCTTTGGAGTGCCATTGATCACTCTCTGGGGTCAGCAAGTGAGGCTGTGACAGGCATGAATCACATACACAACCCAGTGTACAGGAGGCAGTGACTGCTGTGGCTGGCAGGAAACTGCTGAAGAGTGACATAAAAGCCTGAGTGCCTAAAGCAAAGGGTGTCTGTAGCTGTGATTTGTCAAACAAACTGTGAGGGCTGTCTCCCTCGGCAAGAAATGCAGTGGCCAGACCTCCATCTGTGTTCCTGGATTCACTCGACAATTTGTATGGAAAAACTCACAGGAATCACCCATACCCAAAAGTCACAGGGCAGCAACTTCATGGGTAGTAAATACCTTGCTCTCCCTCGAGCACCAGGAAGCATTCACAAAGGAGCCCTTTTATCCCTTTCGCTGTTGATCTGGAAACCTAGTCATGCCAAGGTTAAATGAACTGACTAAGGTTGCATAATTAGCCAGTGGCAGAGCTGAGAATAGATGCCATCTCCATTTTTCCAGGCCTAAGATCTAACTCTTAGGCCCTTCCTGGGGGCACAGGCAGGCTACCAAAAGTGTACATCACAGCTCTATAGAATATGACATTTTTAGAACAGGCTTAACCCTGAATTTACAATAGTTCTAGACAACAACAACAAAGAGAAAAAACCCAAACCAAACCAAAGAAAAAACAACCCCCCCAAAAACTAACCAAACAACAAAACCCAAACACAAACAAACAAAAACGTACAAAAAAAAAAGGGGAGGAACAAAAAAGGAACAATATTACCTTCTTATGAGTGCTCCTGCCTGGGAAGAAAGTAAAAATGGAATTCAAGTGGCATTTATAAATATTAATGGACTTCTAAGCACTAGCACATTAAATAAGTTCCCAAGGGCCGAAGCCTGAATTAACTTTAAGTAATAGTTGCTGGACACCTAGGCAAAAATAAAGCAATGCTGTGAAAATGCGTTAACCTTTCACAGCTTGACTGGGCTAAAATGCAGTCATTTATCCTCCATTTCAAAACTATTTTAGGG